AATAATAATGAAACGTGTATAGATTTTGATAGTAGAAATAATAATAATAGTAGAAACGTTAATTGTGAAAAAAAAAATTTTTTTTAAATAATAATCTTGGCTCCAGAAGGTTGTAGATAAATCAACCGGTCAATTTAAAAAGCGTGCAGTACTGACACACAATAGAGCAACCTTTAACGAAAATTCTAAACCCCAAATTGCTGAGGAAAATCAAAGGATCTATGAGCTATTCAGGTATCAAAAATTAGTCTTTTTTTTCTAAAAAATTGGTTTTTGCAAAAACTTAAAAATATTTAAAAAATTTTTTAAACTCTCCTTTTTCTTATGCCAAGAGCTTCACTTTTACTAAACTTGGTTAAAAAGTATCAATTTTCCATCAAGATTTAAGCAGTTCGAAAAAGAGGATTTTTAATCGTTTTTAGTTTTTTACTTAATAAAGGGAAACTCTTATAAACTGTACAAATACTTGCCACTGATAATGCGTTACTTTGATCTACTGCAGGATTTCCACTTCTTTATGATAATACAGAACCTAGGGCAGTAATTTCATGACTGTTGTATACATTTGGTGCTTAAACATACAAAAGTTGTAAAATGGTCTAGGAAAATATGTCTGGGTTTTCACTACTTGAAAAACAAGATTTTTTTCTCAGTCTTATCATAAACATTGACAGCTAAGGATGCCCATCATTGAATAGACTTTCAAAGGACTTCTACGTATGCTTAAGCAATAGTGTACATTTTAATTATATGTGGTACTTAAATTTCACTGTTTTGGCATTGCAAAAATGGTTACTTCCAAGAAAGAGTTGTTACTGTATGCAACATTATTTATAACCCTTAAAATATCTGAATGTAAAAACATTTTATTTTACTATGCACAAATTATCCTCGTTAAAAAATACGTCTAAAATAAGATGTAAGATATAACATAATAAGTTATGAAATAANGCTAAGTATTGGGTATTTGCTTGAAACATTCGCCCAAACCATCATTCAAAAGATGTGGGAAGCCAGAATGACTTTCTTAATCAGAGGGGGCAATCCATAACTGCTTATTGTGTACCAACCAATTCACAAGCAACTTCACACACACGCAAGCATGAAACCAGCCATCGCAAAAAAAGATGAAAGTGGGAAAGATCTCTTTTGAATCAACTCTCTTCATCTACGGTGTTAACCGTACGTCATTAAGTGCCTACATGCCTCAGCCATCACTCGCAATGGCTATTCGGACAGCTTTATCGAAGAAATAGTGACAAATGTGCTACAGGACAATTCCAAATCCGTTTCTGAAATCACCACCAAGCACCAAGCAACGCAAGCTTTTAAGGTAACCTTTAGAAACTCAAACAACAGTTTTCAGCATCGCAAAGTAAGAAAATTCGTACACCTTAAATGGGATCAAGCTGAAATTCGAAAACGAGAGCAATTTTCATTTCATATAGCTGGAATAACAATTTTTGGAGAAATTTCATTTAGAGAGTTAGGAGGAAAGGGTTATGGAGGTCATACAACTCCCGAACGATGCAAGTTGTGTCTTCTAGACATGAAACTCCGGAATGATTGCTGTGAATTCATTGTTTATTGTTTCCAAGGTCATGGAGATGTCATCACCGTGAGATGCAAGCTCAAGTGTTCTTACCCGGCACATCATTGAATCACACGTACTGATATTTGCCTTTACTGTAAATCAACTTTAAAAAAATTTGACTTCAGTGTTGTGGTCCAGTGGAAATTATTCCCCCATTTCTTTTTCTTTCCTACGATCCTACCTAAATCTCTACCTTGATGTCATCGTTCAGACCTTACTACCTTATTAACCTAGCATTCTCATAATTTATCACAAAGTTACTGTTAAGAAAAGCATAAGCTTCTAAGGCTGGGTGTAAGTGTATTTTTAAAGAAAGCAAATCCAACGCTAATGTTATCATTATAGGGCTGTCATAGTAATGATTATAATAGTAAAAAAAGTATTAATTCAGCTTGTCATATTTATAAGAAATCATCTAATAGTTTCAGTTTTCTTTGTAATATTTAAGTTTAGTTGATAACTTCATTCAGCTTTTTTTCTTCGAAATAAGTTACCAACTTAATATTTAACCTATTTCACCGGCCATCGCAGGAGAGCTGTGGACGCTAGATCGTCTATTACAAGTAAGGTAGTGGTAAATTACTTTTAAATTTTAATTGCATTAAAAGTCTGCAAAACACAGACACTCTTGCTGTTTACACGCTGCACGCTACATTTAAATATTCGCGTGTAAAAGTTGCGTCGCAGAGCCACGACATATCATATGTTTGAATCTTTGAACTCAGATAAAACTAATGTCACTGACACTTGTTATCTAGCATAACTTTCTAAGATAATTTAAGTTGTAATTTTACCGATCAATCGAAAATTAAAATTTACCCACAAAAGTAAACAAAAATGTACAAAAACCACAAACTTACGCGAAACTGACTTGAAGTGCCAAGAAGTTCAGAAAAATACTGCACTTTATTTATGTTTTAAAGATTTCAAAATTGTCAACCTGTAATATATGCACTGTTATGTATGTACTTTTATTTTCAATCCATTGTAGCTGTAAACAGATCTCTGTATCGTCTTAGACCAAGATTTATGATAATAGAGCAAGAGTGAGTTAATACCAGCTCACAGGAATTGAAAAACCGTATAATGCTTGGGGATAAAACTTTATCTTCCGAAGTGTCGTTTGCGGTAGAATTAGGATTTATTTTCTATCCGGCAATCGATCTCTAAGATACCCCTAAGATACGTAAGGTTTAAACTTTTGCCACCTTATGGGGACTTCTATTGAATTTTGGCACTAGTCGTACGGTAAACATGCCGAATAGTGTCAACCGAGCTGGTGGAAGTTTTTAAAATTTACTTAAGAGAATAAATGATCTTTTTTAGTTAGAATTCTAAAACTGCAGCCAATACCACATACAAAAACTTCTTATTCCCTATGAAATAGGCCCGGTCAGGACTGGTACAAATTTTTTGCGTTTGGCAATTTTTATATATCGATGAAACTCGACATAACGAGACTATATTGCAAAATTACTCCTACTCTAGAAAACACTGTATTTCTGTTCAAATTTTATTAATTTTTTTAAAATCTTTTAAGTAAAAAAAAGTAATAAATGTTTTTTTTAAAATGTCACTTTATTTTGTCATCAGACAGTAACATTCATTGAAATCTTGTAGGTGGAAATATTGGGTCTAAATTCAAAATTGACTCCGTGACTGGTGTCTTGTCTATGGATAGCTTGGATCGTGAATATATTTCAAAATACATTTTGACAATTTCTGTAAGAGACAACGGGCAGCACAGCCGTGAAACATTTTGTAACCTAACAGTGATAGTTCTTGATGAAAATGACAATGCACCGACGTTTTTGTATGATGCGTATACCAACATAACATTACAACCATTTGATATCCAGTCAAAAAGTTATGAGCAAGATTATAATAATCAAAACTTTATCCAAGGAAAATACTCCAAGACGATTTCAGAAAATGTAGATATCAATTCAAGTATTTTACGCGTAAAAGCTGTAGATTATGATCAAGGATTGAATGCTAAAATTGTATATTCAATTGCTAATGAATCAACTTGGCTCTTTCAAGTTAATAATTCGACAGGCATTATAACTACAAAGGGGTATTTACTCATCATCAAATTATAAATTTTCTATGACAATATAATAGTAAGCAAAATATGCAATAACCCAGTAACCCTTCTTACTTACATTAAAAATAATTTTTTTCTTAACTAATTTTATCATACCACATGTTACATGCTGCGATATCTAACAGCTAAAAGTCTTTGTCCTTACAGAGGAAGTTACTAGTATAAAACAGTTAGGCTGGTAAGTAGTAAAAATGTGACTAATAGCTTTATGCTCTTTAAGTAACTTTTCGAATTTTCGTGTATCTTTCTATATCTAATGCTATTCAATATTAAAGAAAGTCTTAGCAAGATACAAGTGAGATAAAAAAAGTTATAAAGTTATGAAATTTAGTGCTGATGCAATAATGTAATTAAGTTTCCTAAGTAACCTATGGGTGACTTTATATAGCACTTATTAAAATAATATTAGAGGTTGCAAGTTTTAGAATATTATGGCTATCCTCCTAAGAAATTCATGATTTGAAAGGCATGCGATCTTTTACGTTAAGGCAATGAATTAGATTCTTCTTCTTCGTTAGTTTTTAGTCCAAAAAGAGCACTACTGCAAAGTGAAAAGGCAAATGTCAAAAACTTAACAAAAGTTTATATTAACAGCAACCTTAAAATAATTAAAAGTGTTAAATATTTATCAATAACATAGTTCGGGACTAATTTGTAATATCACACTTTTTTAATTCTGTACTTATGCGATTTATAAGTAATCTATACCTTTAATAATTTTTTTACAATTTTTTTGATTTTTTAAAAATCATTTTGCTACTGCACATTTCTTAATTGATGTTATGTACATTTAAGTCATTACAATCAGTGTGAAAAAATTGATTTTACAAAACTAAATATTTTAGCTCTCAACCCTCCTTAAATTTACTTTGAAACAGCTACTCCAAAAGCTGTAGCATGTTCCCCAACCTTGTTCTAATTTTTAGAATTTTCGCATAAGCCAATTAGAGCATTGGAAAAGGATAAAACTAAACTTTCACCACCTATGAATCAAGTGTGAACATTCGGAAGAGTGGGAAATTGCATCAATTTTTTTCTCCCACGCATTCATAGTCTTCTCCCCAACAAAATACTTTGAAGGATGCTCTAGACTGTCCTTAAGTGTAATAATCATACCATTCGAATCAACCACGGAGTAAAGGACTTCAACTACGAGATGGCACAACGCATAGATAAATAAACACTCATCAGTGTATTGTTAAGTCCTTACAACTATTTTTATGTAGTACATTTTTTCTTTACTCTACTCAAAACGCAGAAATAATGTTGGAAGTTCTATTTTTCTATATTTCACTTGAGACGCAAAAATGATATTGAGAGTCTTACTTTCTATGTTTCTGAAACATAGTTTCATTTTTTTCTTCTAACTTTGTAAAATGTGGAAACACTTTAATTTATTTATTTTTTTAGCATAAATATGGTTAAAAAGACTACCGAGGGTAATGTAAGAAGACATCAGGAACATGTGATTTATCGCATTTTACAACGATATACAACTTCTAATCAACAATCTCCTCCGATAGATCTTCCTACAGAATAAAAATCAAAAGTGATAGTAGAAAAAACAGCAGCACCAATATAAAATCAACAGCTAAAGAAATAAAGGCAGTGTCAACAGCAAAAGTAGTAGATGAAAACGGTAAAGTAGAAAAATTCACTTTTTGCAAGTGTAAAACATAATTTTTAACTTGATGTTCGCCATATCTAATACAGTGATATAGACGTCTCGGGTAAAAGTTAAAATAACCTAATAAGTCTTACTCCAGTTAAAAATATATGTTGTTTTCTAAATATTCTTTAGAAAATTAAATGCAGTTTTCTTATTGTGAATGGTTGGATAATATTGATTTACAATCACTACTTTCACCATCATGGGCATCATGATTTTGTGAACAAAACTGGGAAAAACTGTCTTAGTTAGCATCAGAAGTCGTAGAAATAGCAGAAAGTAATGTTACAGCAGTATGTAACGGCAACGTTATAGTTTCGAAGCCTGTATTTGTCCCAACTACGACTGAAGAAGAAAATATATCCCTTTAGTCAACGACATTACCACCGTAATCACTCGCAAAAAACTACCCATTGTCCGAAAATTTTGGGACGTGATCCGAAGAAGATGAATGTGCGCTTATGGTAAGGTCGTGCGCTTATGTCTTTAAAAAAAGGAGAAATAAAAATAATAGCTTGAAAAAAAATTATAAACGAGAGAGAAAAAATTACCAAAAATTACAAAGAAAAGAGGCTCTGAAAAAAAACAAAATCAAATAATAATAGAGAAAAAGCGGAAAGCTGATTCATTTTAGACAGGAGAATGCAAAAAAAATTATTACTCCTACTCTAGAAAACACTGTATTTCTGTTCAAATTTTATTAATTTTTTTAAAATCTTTTAAGTAAAAAAAAGTAATAAATGTTTTTTTTAAAATGTCACTTTATTTTGTCATCAGACAGTAACATTCATTGAAATCTTGTAGGTGGAAATATTGGGTCTAAATTCAAAATTGACTCCGTGACTGGTGTCTTGTCTATGGATAGCTTGGATCGTGAATATATTTCAAAATACATTTTGACAATTTCTGTAAGAGACAACGGGCAGCACAGCCGTGAAACATTTTGTAACCTAACAGTGATAGTTCTTGATGAAAATGACAATGCACCGACGTTTTTGTATGATGCGTATACCAACATAACATTACAACCATTTGATATCCAGTCAAAAAGTTATGAGCAAGATTATAATAATCAAAACTTTATCCAAGGAAAATACTCCAAGACGATTTCAGAAAATGTAGATATCAATTCAAGTATTTTACGCGTAAAAGCTGTAGATTATGATCAAGGATTGAATGCTAAAATTGTATATTCAATTGCTAATGAATCAACTTGGCTCTTTCAAGTTAATAATTCGACAGGCATTATAACTACAAAGGGGTATTTACTCATCATCAAATTATAAATTTTCTATGACAATATAATAGTAAGCAAAATATGCAATAACCCAGTAACCCTTCTTACTTACATTAAAAATAATTTTTTTCTTAACTAATTTTATCATACCACATGTTACATGCTGCGATATCTAACAGCTAAAAGTCTTTGTCCTTACAGAGGAAGTTACTAGTATAAAACAGTTAGGCTGGTAAGTAGTAAAAATGTGACTAATAGCTTTATGCTCTTTAAGTAACTTTTCGAATTTTCGTGTATCTTTCTATATCTAATGCTATTCAATATTAAAGAAAGTCTTAGCAAGATACAAGTGAGATAAAAAAAGTTATAAAGTTATGAAATTTAGTGCTGATGCAATAATGTAATTAAGTTTCCTAAGTAACCTATGGGTGACTTTATATAGCACTTATTAAAATAATATTAGAGGTTGCAAGTTTTAGAATATTATGGCTATCCTCCTAAGAAATTCATGATTTGAAAGGCATGCGATCTTTTACGTTAAGGCAATGAATTAGATTCTTCTTCTTCGTTAGTTTTTAGTCCAAAAAGAGCACTACTGCAAAGTGAAAAGGCAAATGTCAAAAACTTAACAAAAGTTTATATTAACAGCAACCTTAAAATAATTAAAAGTGTTAAATATTTATCAATAACATAGTTCGGGACTAATTTGTAATATCACACTTTTTTAATTCTGTACTTATGCGATTTATAAGTAATCTATACCTTTAATAATTTTTTTACAATTTTTTTGATTTTTTAAAAATCATTTTGCTACTGCACATTTCTTAATTGATGTTATGTACATTTAAGTCATTACAATCAGTGTGAAAAAATTGATTTTACAAAACTAAATATTTTAGCTCTCAACCCTCCTTAAATTTACTTTGAAACAGCTACTCCAAAAGCTGTAGCATGTTCCCCAACCTTGTTCTAATTTTTAGAATTTTCGCATAAGCCAATTAGAGCATTGGAAAAGGATAAAACTAAACTTTCACCACCTATGAATCAAGTGTGAACATTCGGAAGAGTGGGAAATTGCATCAATTTTTTTCTCCCACGCATTCATAGTCTTCTCCCCAACAAAATACTTTGAAGGATGCTCTAGACTGTCCTTAAGTGTAATAATCATACCATTCGAATCAACCACGGAGTAAAGGACTTCAACTACGAGATGGCACAACGCATAGATAAATAAACACTCATCAGTGTATTGTTAAGTCCTTACAACTATTTTTATGTAGTACATTTTTTCTTTACTCTACTCAAAACGCAGAAATAATGTTGGAAGTTCTATTTTTCTATATTTCACTTGAGACGCAAAAATGATATTGAGAGTCTTACTTTCTATGTTTCTGAAACATAGTTTCATTTTTTTCTTCTAACTTTGTAAAATGTGGAAACACTTTAATTTATTTATTTTTTTAGCATAAATATGGTTAAAAAGACTACCGAGGGTAATGTAAGAAGACATCAGGAACATGTGATTTATCGCATTTTACAACGATATACAACTTCTAATCAACAATCTCCTCCGATAGATCTTCCTACAGAATAAAAATCAAAAGTGATAGTAGAAAAAACAGCAGCACCAATATAAAATCAACAGCTAAAGAAATAAAGGCAGTGTCAACAGCAAAAGTAGTAGATGAAAACGGTAAAGTAGAAAAATTCACTTTTTGCAAGTGTAAAACATAATTTTTAACTTGATGTTCGCCATATCTAATACAGTGATATAGACGTCTCGGGTAAAAGTTAAAATAACCTAATAAGTCTTACTCCAGTTAAAAATATATGTTGTTTTCTAAATATTCTTTAGAAAATTAAATGCAGTTTTCTTATTGTGAATGGTTGGATAATATTGATTTACAATCACTACTTTCACCATCATGGGCATCATGATTTTGTGAACAAAACTGGGAAAAACTGTCTTAGTTAGCATCAGAAGTCGTAGAAATAGCAGAAAGTAATGTTACAGCAGTATGTAACGGCAACGTTATAGTTTCGAAGCCTGTATTTGTCCCAACTACGACTGAAGAAGAAAATATATCCCTTTAGTCAACGACATTACCACCGTAATCACTCGCAAAAAACTACCCATTGTCCGAAAATTTTGGGACGTGATCCGAAGAAGATGAATGTGCGCTTATGGTAAGGTCGTGCGCTTATGTCTTTAAAAAAAGGAGAAATAAAAATAATAGCTTGAAAAAAAATTATAAACGAGAGAGAAAAAATT